ATATGGAAGGATCCAAACTAATATTAAGATTGGAGATGCAGTTTACGAATGAATTCTCTCTAGGATATTTACATAGACATTAAGCAATAGATTTATATCCACATGATGTAGTATAGTGAAATGTCTTTGTCGGTATGTTTTATGGCTATTTGATTATTGCTATTACCCATCTATCTCAATAGTATTATAAATGGAATAAATGTGTAGTATTAAGCTATTTTTTACGGACTTTAGCTTTTCTTCTTTTTCAAAAGGTGGGAGAATTGATACCCGACAATTGCTGGGAGAGTTATAACGTAATTAAATAGAGTAGGGTAATTACAATTAAGGGCATAATCCATCGTTTTCACTTCATTGATCTCACGTTTATTCTAGACCTTCCACATGTGCCCATATCTCATGCCATGATCTTACATTAACTCGACTCTGAATTACTATACCGAATTTGCTGCTAAAAGCTTCAACATGTTCACTCGTGAGTCAGCTTTTTAGCTGTAATATATGTCCTGATCTTAGTTTATTACGCTTATGTTTGTCACAAAAGCAGACCCATTAATTACGCCTTATATGACTACTCCTAATCATACAGTTAATGACTGCCGTGTTCTATAATCTTTTAAAAGGTGGATAAGATGCGGGTTGATGTTTCACTTCTTCGATGTTATGTAAGAGAAAATCTAGCTATCGTTCGTACACATATAATAGGTTTTTTGTGGTTATGAATTGTTGAATTTTTTTATAATGATGTTAACACCAGCTTGAAATGTGGACTATTTAACTAATTATTTCTAGGTTGTGTGGCTCTACGATTGATCCTTCAACTACCACAATTTGCAAGAAATAATCTAAATGAACCAACACACATTTATTTCATTACAAATCAAATGATGTGTGTCTGTTTAGAAATGAATCGATGACGCCAAAAACCGACTTTACATTGTGACGTAGACGATATGGAAAGTATATCTTCAACCAAAACGTCTAAATTGGAGCACGAAGCAAATAAACAGCTCTTATTTAGAAAAAGGATTTGCTAGTATGTATAAATGGAACCATAGTTTTCTTCCTATATTTTTTTGGAGAATCCTGAGAATTTGTATTTTTCTAGAAGTTATTAAATAACTTGTATATTTTGTGAGGAGATCACTTTCAGGTCGGTGTTTGGTGTCTTACGCCGGCGGAGGGTCTTGTTCTTGCTCAAGGGAGGCGATGAGTTTTGCTCTCTCGGTTCGTGCGCTAGTGTCCAGTGGCTGTGTGGTCATTGTGTCCTGGTGATTCCATGTCTGTATCTTCAGGGACATGTTGAACTCGTGTCGTCTATGGCTCTGATTTCTTTGTCCTTTGCGGTTACCCGTCCTTTGGTTGGTCCTCCTTGCGTTCTAGTTTCGGGCTGCTCTTCCAGTACCTCGTATATGGTTTAGAGCTCCTTTGGTTCCGCTTTGTTGACTCCTCTTCGTGTCTCCTGCGAAGTGTTGTCACAAAGCGCAGAAACGACCGGAGCAGGTTCTCTGTCTTCGGGTCAAGGCGTCATTTTGTAAGCTTGATTGGGTCAGTCGTGCTTGCTTCGACGAGGAGACTTGGTTGGGGATTAGTCATCCCAGTGCTGTGGTGGCTGCTTGGTCGTCGTGGCAGATTAACCCCTTCGTTTTTTGCAGGAACAAAAGATCCTGACTCTAGTTACAGCCTCATCTCATCCCACCTTTGTTTGGTTTGGTGCTTGTAGGGTCTGGAAGTGTGAGGCTTTGATGGCACTTCTACAGGTTTGCTATCTCTCTACTTTTCTGTCCTTGGGTGCCTAGAACGTTAATGCCAATGTAGATTGCAAGTTTGAAGAGATCGTCATGACCCAGCTACTCCGGTGATGTCACGGAAGTTACCGGTAACCGAGGCAACGAGGTGAACGCCACGTTTCAGTGATTCACATCAACGGTAGAGAACGGGAAATGATATGCTAAGGATTATGGAGTAATTTAGCGGAACGCGCCGGTGTGGTGGTTGAGCGAAGCTAGATATGCGAAGTTTGAATTAGTTTTGTTTTGTTCGACTTAAACTTGTAATCGACATTAGGATTCCCGAGTTTTCGGGCTGATTAATAATAATATAAGTTATTAAAAAAAAAAAAAAAAAAAAAAAAAAAACTTGTATATTTTGTAGTAACTTTTCTTTAGAAATTCAAATATAATTAAAGAATGAAAATTTGTTTGTGTTATGTTTTTAACGTTTATATATGTCGAATTTTGGATTGGAGTAATGTTGTACGCCATGTTTATAGTATTTGTACATGTTGATTTTGGGTCAGAGAGAAGATTAGAATCTATATACAAACTCTTCCAATTTGATGTCGTCTAGACATCAAATGATGTAGTACTATGAAATGTCAGCTGAAAAATAAACGTTGACGAGACTTCTTTTTTTAAACAAAGTGTCTGACTGGATGGCAATTTTAGAGTAAAATTTGGAGTAAAAAAAATGTTTAATCGTGTTTCCTCTGAATTTACTAAGCAAGTGAAAAGATGAAAACAAAAGTTTACTCTATTTCTCGGGAACATATTTTTTTTCTTTCTTGGTTTATCACAATATTTTCCCTCTTTTCTATCCCTGAAAACTCAAAATTTTAAAGTAACACTAACTTTTTATTTTTCTTTTATATCAATTATTCTATTTATATTTACTCCACATTTTACCAATCAAACCTTTTAGAATAAATGTGGACGGTATATATAAAACCATTCTTTAGACAAGCAACCAACACAATTATATTAGACTAAATAACAACATTTTGATTTATGGTCCAATGATCTGTTCGAGCTGGAAAGAAAAACCAGAGGTAGATTATAAAAGTGAGTTGTTAATTTTAGGAGAACGCAATATACCAATACCAGTTAATATACAGTAAGGGGATAGTATTATAGCGATCAAGAATAAAAAAAAACCATATAATCGTTTGTCTGAATATAGTTTAGTAACACTATTAATTGGATAATCTTATAAAGGAAACGCAGTATACGTATCATTATCAAGATGCAAAGCTATAAAAAGAAGAGCTATAATAATACAACTAACGGGTAATTGATTTGTTGTCTTTATTCAGAGAAGAAAGGGAATATGATGATTGGCGGTTGGCTTATAATGACGCTGAAGAGTTTCTAGTGAGTTATAGGTTTCATAGATGTTAAGTTCGTTAAAGAAACATGTGAAAAGAAGACCGTTTTAAATTTGGTTGTAACATAATGAGGACAATTCCGATCTTTTCTCTACGATGTTTGTATGTTCATATAATCTGATCATGCTGAGCTTCTTATGAGTTAAGAGACTCAAAGAGTTAGTAATCTTTAATCTTTGGTGCTGAAAACTACAGGAACACCTAGGTGCCTGGATTTGGCACCTAAGAGCAGCATCAACGCATAGGAATACTTATTATTATTTTATTTTTTTTTTCATTTTTTCTAAAAAAACAAAATTCATCAATCGTGGACTGCCCACGAAACAGAACAAGTTTTGGTGTTTATTCTTACGTTTTGGCAGCGTTGTTTCTTTTTTTTCCTTTTTTTATGGTTCCTCCCCTCCTAAGTAATTTCCTAAAACCCCCCAACTGATGCTGCTCTAACTTGACAATTATTGTGGCTTTTTCTTCTTATTTTTACTTTTTGGATTAATATAAAAGTCGACTAGAGGTTCGTTCTTAATTTAGAAGATTAAAACATTTTTGGATTAGTTTTAATTTTTTTGTTTGAAAAAAATATTAGGTGTTTTATACACCATGTACAGGTATAAAAAAAAATTAAATTAAATTTAAAAATAAAATTTTGTTAGTTTTTAGATTATATTATTTTGTTAGTTTTTAGTTTATATTATATTTTTACAATTTAATTTTAATTTCATTATACATCAAATTAAGACAAAAAATATTTAATTAATGTAAGTATATGTTGAGAATTATAATCTTGGAAAGACTTTTTTATCAATTTATTTTGGTTAAAATATATTAAATCAAATTCTAAAGTTTAAGAGAGAATTTTTTTAGGTATATAATTATCAAAACTTAAAATTAAATAATATTTTTTAAGTTTGTAGTTATTAAAAGAAATTAATGATATTGGCATAAAATTTTAAAGAATTATTTTAATAACAAAATTATAGAATTATAAAAAGTATAATTATATAATATTTCAAAGTTATAAATTATTTTTATATTTCAATTTTTACAACTATATTATATATTATTATATTAATGATGATATGAGCTATTATCTTATTGTAAGAAACTTACCAAAAACATAATCATGTAAAATGTATATGTTCATGTCACATTATCCATATCATCATTATTGATATCATAATTTTTTTTAAAAACCAATGTGGTGATGACACATGATAAATAACTTATCAAATAATATCTAGAATATTACATTTTAAAAATTTAGAAGTAAGGCAAATGTTTCATCGATATGTCTAGAATCAATTCGGTTGGTGAACTAAATCTGTATACAGAATGCAGTCCTATAGTTTGGACACTACTGGCTACTAAATTCACGAGGAAAATATAGAGAAGCGAAGGGATGATTCTCAACACTAACTAAAAATATCTTAATCTCACCTATATAATCGGTATAAACTGTATTCGTAACTGCGGTGCCAACCCTTTGATTAGTAGTGCCACGTAAATGGAGAGAGATAGAGATAGAAGAGTATGAAAAGACTTTTTAGAGAAGCAAAGGCAGATGAGTAAATGCTCTTCGCTGTCTCTATTGACTCTTTTCACTTAAATCAAAGACTTCATTTTGGGATCAGCAGACACGTAGAGGATTTATTTGTTTTCTTTTTAGGAATTATATAAGGTTTTTTCATATGTTCAGATGATAAAGACAAAATAAAATCATAAGGAAAGAAAATAAATAATAAAAACTGTAATCCATGCGCAAGCGCTCAATTCAGTTTAAATATGTGTATGGTGTGTCTTTATTTCAATGCACTTAGATCCAAAAAACGACCCATGTGACCTAGACGCTTGTCTTCTCTTAACACCCAAACTCTTCAGTGAAACCTCCCTTGTAACAAGTAAACACAAAGAGAATCAAAACAAAGACTCTTTCAAGTCCAAGGTGCATTCGAAGAAGACCCTCTTTGCAAAAGTCCAATTTTGGAGTCTTACTAGTTACAATATAGCTTACACACACACACTTCACTATACCTGCGTTTAAATAATAGAGAGGCAAAGAAAGAAGAGAAACAGAGGAGCAATATCAAGAGTGTGTGGGTGTGGATATGGGTAGACCACCTTGTTGCGAGAAGATAGAGGTGAAGAAAGGACCATGGACTCCTGAAGAAGACATAATCTTGGTCTCTTATATCCAACAACATGGCCCTGGAAACTGGAGATCTGTTCCCAAAAACACAGGTATTTATCTTCATTTCATTTCAATTTCTAATCTATAATAAATTACCATTCTTATTAGCTTACACATAAAAAAACATACATGTATATATATGTTTTCAGGTTTGCTAAGGTGCAGCAAGAGTTGTAGACTTAGATGGACTAATTACCTTCGTCCCGGGATCAAACGAGGAAATTTCACTCAGCATGAAGAGAAAACGATCATCCATCTCCAAGCTCTTTTGGGTAACAGGTAACTGAAAATTATTCCTGTAAATATTAATATTCATTTATATGTATAAAAATTGTATGAAAATTTGATAGATGTTAAAAGAATCTTATAACGATGAGATGAATCCCAAAGCAATTATAGTTTATAGTATGAGTCAATCCATTCACTTCTAACTGGTTTTCGTTTAAGTTAATAATGAATTATATTTATTTTATTTTCTAATATCTTAATGACCTGAGATCCTTACCAATGAAAAGTTTTCAACATGATTATTATTTGGTGATACAAATATATAAAGATTATTATTTAATTATGAGTCTCTGTTAAATTGATGATAACTCTTCACCAAAATATTTATAATAATTTATAATATTTTCATCAACTCGAGATACCTAACTTAATAATTTATAATATTTTATTTTAATATATTTTGAGAATTTGGATGATGACACTCTCAATAATTTGCGATTACAAAATGCTCACAATAATTTGCAATCACAAGAATCTCCGAGTATAAACTTGGCGGACTAAAACTAACAGCTCCGGAGTCATAAACAAGAGGGAAAGACGATGAAACTAAAGGATGCTTTAACATCCAGTTATTGACTACAATGTTTCTTTTCCATTTTTTCTTTATTTAATTGAATATCGTCCTTGAAAATTAGATGGGCAGCCATAGCATCATATCTACCTCAGAGAACCGACAATGATATAAAGAACTATTGGAACACTCATCTGAAAAAGAAACTCCAACTGCAACGTCAAAATGGTATCACCAACGAAGGCAACACCGATATGACGGAGATTTCATCTTGTAATAAAAACAACAAGAACGTATGTACCAACAACAAAAGGATCGCCAACAAAGGACAATGGGAGAAAACACTTCAAACAGACATCAACATGGCCAAACAAGCCTTACTCCAAGCCTTATCACTTGACCAACCAACTTCATCGATATCTCCTGATCTTTACTCGGCAAAACCTCATCAGCATCATTCTACCATAACTACTTATGCCTCAAGCACAGATAACATCTCTAAGCTATTACAGAACTGGACAAGCTCATCTTCTTCATCAGTGCCTAACACTTCATCATTCTCCAACAACCGGAGCTCAAGCACTGGTGAAGGAGGCGTTCTTGATCAACAATCTTTGTTCTCACCGAACTCAGAATCTGGATCAGTTGATGAGAAGTTAAATTTGATGACAGAGACAAGTGTTTCTAAAGGTGAGAGCAAACCAAACGTTTGCACGGAAGCAACTACTAATGATCATGGTTCGTTGTCTTTGATCGAGAAATGGTTATTTGATGATCAAGGCTTGGTCCAGAGTGATGAAGATCAAGAAGATCTTATATATTGATGTGTCTTTAGAGGGTGGTAACAACCGTCAAGATTTGTTCGAAGAGAAAATATGGAGCAACACTATAGGACTACCAAGTGTAGCTAGTCTAGTGGTCGTCATGTCATCCATAATGAGGTTGCTCTTTGCACCCTAGTTCGAACCTTAATCGGAGGAGATGTATTTATCATAAAATGGTCACGGCCGAGAAAAGCTACGGGTCAAAAGATTCCAAAAAAGTTCGTGAGAGACAACAAAAAGTATATATGTTTACTTTCTTTTAATTATTCTCCTTTATGAACTTTAGTTAGGTTTTATTTTACTGTCTGCCTTGCTTGTTGTCAAGTCTATCGATGAAAATAAAACTGTCAACTGTGTGTAATTTACTATGTGAAGTTAGAAACAGTGCAATAAACTGAGCTTTCCTGTTTAATAGTTTAGTTTAGTCATGGAATCTGTATTATTATTTTCTTTTATCATTGTTAAACTAAGCAATATTTTACAGGATTGAAATATGCGATGTAGCCATTTTTACTGTTGATGAAATATCACTGGTCAAGTTTAACCCATGATTAACTTTTACTACATGAACCGTTGAAGAAATTTTGTATCATTAACAAATATACTTTATCCATTATCCATATTTTTGTAATGAATGTTAAATTTATTCGATTCAAAACGTTTTTACAATATATGCGTCTTTTAGAACAGCTATTATCCATATGTTTATCATACTCCATGTAGTTTCTAGTATTATATGTTTTTCTTGGAATTTTTGAGAGTTTTCACTAGATTGTAAGGTTATAATATATACTCTCTCTTTCTCCTATTGTATAAGTAGTTTTAGGACAAATAATTTGTTTTAAAATATAAATGGTTTTTATATTTTAGGTGATTTTTACATTTATTAAATATAGTGTGACCAAATTAAATTATAATGTGTGCGGCCAATTAAATTATATCTATTTTTTTGGAGTAATATATCTACTTATTTATAATTGGTTTAATTATACGTAATCCATATATTAAATAATATTTTTTTAATTTTTGTGTGTTTTAGATAAAAGTTACTTATATTTTAAAATAAAGTGGCTATAGCCGTATATGTTAAAAATTGTGAGAATGTTATTATTATTATTATCATTATTGTTATTATTGTTATTATTGTTATTATTATTATTACTATTATTGTTGTTGTTATTAATTTCATCAGTGTGTTTTTAGTGGGAAAAGAAATGATTTTCATAGTCTTCATTATACTCCATTTATGGACTACGAGCATTAATGACTATTGGGCTGTAGATTATTTAAATCATTTTACCTAAAATATGGACCAACAATCATTGAATGTAATTAAACATGAGAATCATATATAATCGTGAAAGAGATTTAGTCTATCTACAATATGGCCCAATCATCTTTAATTTAATTAAACGTGAGTCTCATCTACTACACAAAATTAAATCACAATTGTTTATAGACCTCATATTAATATGAATCTTTAATTTAAGTTAATTTACATATCTGAAGAGAGAAATGATATGCGGATTGTCTCTATTTGAAGATTATTCTAAACTCCTGCATAAATTCAAAATACTTAATTAAATTAAAAATAGATCAGCAGAATAGGGAATTTTTGCATTACTAGAATATAATTTAGTGATGGGAAACAGACTTTGGAATATGATTTAATAGGTATAGTATAACTTGACAATCTTATTTGTTAAATTAGAACGAAGTAATCATTTTCTTAGCGTAGAGAACTTAACAATCTTTAGTAATCTTAGAACTGACCTTGTCAATGTCATAATTTCGAACAGATCTTAGTTTTGTAAAAGTTGTTCCAATTAAAACGAGACCTTTTTAATTTTCATGTAGACTTCTGAAACTGATAAAACAAAACCTGTTCCGATATCAAATTGAATAGTCCAGCAAAATCATAATCTATATTATAATAGTAGACTTTCAAGGCTCCACAACGCGCCATGTCAGCAATTTTGTGGGTCCTGTAGGTATTTTTTAAAAATTTATAGTCTTGGTAAGATGATTACAAACAATGAAATACACTTTGGCCAAGTGGTATAAGGTGTCTAATTAAGCATGCAAGATCGTGGGTTCAAATCACACAGCCATCATTTATTTTTTATTTTTTATTTGGGTTATTATCATATGTGCTTTTTGTCTATAAGGTTTTTATGTTTTTTTTTTATGGCTTATTGTTTTAAAGATCAAAATAGTTGGATAAACCTTAAAGCTTAACGAGTTCAAACCAAAAATAGTTAAAAATGGATGCAAAAACGAACAATAAAAAAAAAAAAAACAAGTCTCACGCGGTTGCCTACGCGGATGGCTTAAAGAGCCTTAAAACTATCCTATTATAATATAGTTCAACCCAAAATAATAAAAAATGAATCCAAAAACGAACCGACCAAAAAAAAGTGAATCCCACGCGGCTACCTACGTGGATGGCTTAATGAGGCTTGAATAATATAGATTAAGAGTTCAAAAAATGAAATCATTGTACATATTTTCTAATATATATTTTCAAAAAAATTGTATGTGCGATTAAATAAAAAAACAACAAAAATTAATTATTTTCGTTATTTATTTAATGAATATGTAATTTCTCTTACATTTTAATAACTACTATAATTTCGTTGAAAACATTCTTCACCACCGACTCCAGACTTCGGCGAATGGATTCCCACAGTCGATGACGCCGTAGATAAAAATGCCACATCATTTATGAACAAAACTCAAACTTACAAAAAACCATATATAAAAATCTATCTAATGAAACTTAAACAACGAATGTTAACTTAATTAAGGTTATTTTCAAATTGATAAATCGTTTAATACAAATATAAATACTATAAATATAGAATTATATCAAGTTTTGACCTACGATATAATAACTATTTACAGCAAAAAAAAACATCTACTTTTACACACTAAAAACTATATTATAGCTTAACTATTCCTATAAACATTACTTCGCATATAAATAACATTTAACTCATTCCTAATATATTTTCAAAAAATTTGTATGTGAAATAAAATAAAATAAACAACAAAATTTAAGTATTTTCGTTATTTATTAAATGAGTATGTAATTTCTTACATTTTAATAACTACTATAATTTCATTGAAAACATTCCTCACCACCGACTCCAGACTTCGGCGAATGGATTCCCACAGTCGATGACGCCGTAGATAAAAATGCCCCATCATTTATGAACAAAACCCAAACTTACAAAAAACCAAATATAAAAACCTATCTAATGAAACTTAAACAACGAATATTAACTTAATTAAGGTTATTTTTAAATTGATAAATCGTTTAATACAAATATAAATTCTATAAATATAGAATTATATCAAGTTTTGACATACGATATAAAAACTATTTACAGCAAAAAAAAAAATAGACACCTACTTTTACACACTAAAAACTATATTAAAAACTAAAAACTATTTACACTAAAAAACTTTATTATTCTACTTTTATGAACAAAACCCAAACTTACAAAAAACCATATATAAAAACATATCTAATGAAACTTAAACAACGAATATTAACTTAATTAAGCTTATTTTTAAATTGATAAATCGTTTAATACAAATATAAATACTATAAATATAGAATTATATCAAGTTTTGACATACGATATAAAAACTGTTTACAGCAAAAAAAAAATAGACACCTACTTTTACACACTAAAAACTATATTATAACCTAATTGTTCCTATAAACCTTGTTTCGCATATAAATAACATTTAACACATTAGATATACAATATTTTCACTTTACACTCTTACTACATTTTTTCCATTTCATTAATATTTGGTGTTATTAGAAGAATCCACTAAACCACTAAATCGAAAAAAATATACGCAAACATAATGATTCCGGTCCCGCGCTTGCGCGGGGAGTATGCAACTAGTTACTGATAAAACTTTTATAGTAACGTGCTGGCTATGTTACGGTACACAAAATCAACGTCATTGACCTTGTCAATAACATGATACCCTAGTAACTATTTCCCCATTTAAATTGAAGAGTTTAGAAGGATGTTGCGTGTCAAGATGATAGTAGATTGGTAGCCTAGGACGTGTTTTAGCCGTGACCTCTACCAGGATGGTCTAATAGCATATGCAACAAGAATGATCAAACATAATTCAAATAAAAATAATAATTTAAATTTTTAAAAATAATAAATTATAGTTTAAAACTTCAAAATATTAGAACATATAATGCTTTTGAAGAACATTAAACATATATACAAATAATTAAAAATATTTCTATACATAATTAAATATACTGTTAATATTTTGGAACAAGGCCCAAAATTGAACTGAGACGGTTCTGCCTCCACCACAGCTGTGCCAGCGTGTAAGAGCATTAACAATCCAAGGTGGTTATGGGAGATTTTAGTAAAAAGTAGTAGTGTGTATGCCCCTCCCAAATGTACACGTCGGCTACAAAAATGCTCAGATAAGCGTCGGACTGTGTGGGGATTTTATATTGTTTACGGATCCCACTGATACGTGACGGTCTGTAATTGATTCAGTTTTTTTATTTACAAAAAAAAAAACACAAAAAAATAAATAAATACCGGTTGTGTGTTAATGGTGCTCTAAGATTACCCAAAGAGATAAAAGATTTCAAGTCTCAGTTCATAAGAAATGCTAAATAACAAAAAAAGATAGACATCACTTCTTCAACTTCTTGCAAAAGCTTAACAAGCCCATCATAAGATTTTCCGGATGGACATTTGCAATCATACTCGTATCCATTATATATTTCTGAAGAGTCTTTTCGACTCAAACAGCTGAAGACGATTCCAATTTCCAACGACTTACGATTTCAAAACGGAAAATAGATTGTTATCATGGACATTTCCAACTAATTTTGCATTAACAGAAAGTTTACACAGTAGAATCACTTACAACAATAGTTTTGAGATTACATTGTGGTGCCGTATCTGCAATATCAACCAATCATCTACATTATAGTTGTTAATATTGTTATATTCGCTTATAAATGTAATATAATGTATAAATGTTTTAATTTAATTACTTTTGCTATTATAATCCTTTAGTGTTCATATACATGCACGACCGGGTTTTACTATGTAAGAGTAAGCTGACAAATCGAAAATCCAGTGTAAAATTGAAATGGTATATCTCTCTCTTTATTTTTATCTTCTATAAGAAAATCATAATATGCATGCTTCGAGCACTTTTGTTGAATTGAATAAAAGTTTTTAGAAAGGAGGAAAGTATGTGAATAAGATGGTAAGGACAGAAGCATGTGATCTTTAAGGGCGGGCCTTTGGAAATCACATCGATCCCATGTATCAAAAGAACTCATCTTCACTTCAATCATTTTCTCAACACACATCTTTCCATTGTTAAATAAGCCAAAGGTTTCTTTTCGCTGTCTTGGTCCACTCGTTCTGTTCATTTTTGGCTCTTTTCGTTTATTCTTCAACGGGATTTTTAAACATGCACTTGCATTGTCATTCCATTATATATATTAACTTCCTTTATTTTATCATTTTTGTGTCTATAACGTAACTAGTAAATTGTCAAAGTTGAGTTACATAAGAACTTGACAAGATCTCTCAGTGATTATTGTAATTAACAAAAAAAAATAAAGAAAAACCACCAACCATGGTTCTTTTATAAGCTTTTGAATGGGGCACTAGAGAGTCTACATTAACAAAGACAAAGAAAAAAAAGTCCTTAATGATAATCAAACTAATTAATAAGTGGGTCTCTTAAACGTTGGACATTTACGAAAGAAGCGAATCATCAACCAAAATGCCGATTGTTCACCCAAAACAAAACAACTTTGACTAGCTTTAATATTGGTTTTTGAATGACGATTGATTTGCCAATAATGGGCCTTCACCAGTCACAACTTAGCTCCTCCATCACAATTGCATGCCACCTAATTGAAAAGATGTTCGATATTTTGTTTTACACACTTCAGATCATTAATTTCTAGTGTTGGTTTTCTCTAGTTTTAGTTTCATGCACTTCGAGCTCTCCCGTAGAGAAAAAAGAGAGGACATTTGGCAAATTAATTAAATTTTATTTGATTAAAAATCATTCTTTTATGGAGTATATGATATTGTTGTATATTACCTAGTCGAGTCTTGTACTATTTTGTTAAGAGAGGTCCATATTACTCAAAACTTTCGTATATAAAACATACGTGTCAGTATATAGCTATTCCGGTAATCCAAACTCTATATAGTATGATGTGTTTCTAAGTTGAAATGCCAATATATAAATAACTGTATACAGTTCAGAATTTCTGGAGATTCACGATATGCTCTAGTTTTAAAAGTTGGAATATAGTAGTATAAAGCTCTTTTCCTATCAAATAATATAGAATTAAACTACAGTGGTCTTTCCCAACAAATTCGAGTGGCCACTTAGATGCTGGCAAAAGCAGCATTACAAATCTTTTTTTATGGCCACAGATTTACATTAATATTTTTGTTGTAGTTATTTCTGCCTCTTCTTTTGATTCTATAGAGTATAATAATAAGTTAACAAAAACCATTAACCTAGGGGATAAGAAACATGATTAGATATGTGGACCGTGTGATATTAAACAAATTGAGTACATTATTCTACAAAGAAACTTCATTCTTTGATAGTATTATATCACAAATGTAATTAGATTTAAAAAGCGAACAAAAATGGACAAAAAATGGAATTAGACAAGTATTTTTAAGTTAAACAGCTGGTCCATCCGGCTACTATCATCAACTTTCCCTCATGTCCAACTCAACTAGTCTTTTATATTGCAAAGTTGGTCGTGATTGCATATATATAGTAGTAGTATGATTCTAGAATCTAAAGCTACATGTAACACGACTTCTTAGTCTCTCATCATGTGGTTTATGTATATTAACGATCTCTGGAACTTAATGGAATTGATTTAGTCTTATATTTCCTTTTGTCATCGAAAGTAAATATATCTTAGATATGTTATACATCTTCGCTGTAAAAATCTTATATACACATTTCAGCAATCCTTTTAATACACATTTAAGCTTCAACCAGAGGTCCAATACACATCTACTGGAAGTTTGGAACTTGTATTCGATTTTAAGACTGATAAAACTAAGATATGCACATTCACCAACTATTTCATATACCGTGTGAGCATATGCTTCGTACCTGTGATATACTGAATTTGCGATCGTATAAGCTCGACTAAAATAAACAAATCCAATATCATTTTGCAATAAGAAAACAAAAATCTAGTTTCGATCTTATAATTTCAAATCAGCATGGTATATATCGCAAATGACCTCACTCATTTACATATATAAGAACTATATCAAGATCCAAAAGCTAAATTTATAAAATAAACTATTGTTTACACCACAAACAGAACAATATATACAACATTTTAAAAATACATATAGATGGGCAGTATGTGAGTTCTTGATATAAACATCAATAATCATATACAAATATATCCCTTCACCTTTAAAAAATCAATCCAAATTACAGAAAAACAAATCAAGCGTTAGGTGGAGAGTACTCACAAACAACCTCCGTATCAACTTCCTTCCGGTGAAAATTCCGATGACAACCACAAGCAGCGCATCTCAAAGCCTCGACGGTTCCTTCATTACCGGAGGCCATAAACTCACGGCAACCGTCAACGGCGTAGCCTCCGATGTTAGCAGCGTGATTCTTCTGACACTCCACGTAACGGACGTTACTGGTCGCTGATGAAGTAGTAGTAGTCCAAGAAGACGACGTGTTAGAGTTTCTTGGTCTTTGTTTTATTACCATCTGTCTCTTCTTCATCACGATCTGTCTGAAACCCTAGTTTTTTTTATTCGATTTAGTATTAGTCTTGAAAATGAAAGTGGCTCTTTGGTCATACGAAAACGAAGTGAAGACTAGAAGGTGTGTACTTGGCCCCTTTATAAATTAGTTAGGCTTGTTTCTTATCTAACCCTAGAGGACCTACGGTGTTGAGTCAACAAAGTAGCTTAAACCTTGGTCTACTTTTTTTCTTCCCTATACGTTATTTTGTTATAATATAGTATTTATGTATAATGTTGATATATACGGTATTGTATATATATACATGGGAATGAGAATATTAATCTACTACATGTATATATACATGCATGATATATTACTAGGGATTAGGTTTTTTTTGTTTCACATTCAAACTTCTTTGATACAAAATGTTTCTTTAAGATTGAAATTCCAAGACATGATTTTGAGAATTGGATGATATTGAAAACTGAAAATTCAGATTTCGCATAACTTTTCAAAAAGTAAAACAGTACGTGTCAAGTATAGGACAGATGTTCGACTCTAAAAAGCTAGAATCTCTGTATTTTGATATCAAATTATTAATTCTGGAGTTGATTCTTACGCTACACAGGTAAAACCTTGGTGGAGTATTATTTTATCACTTTTATTTTTATGGAAGCAACTTTGGTAGAATATAAATAGCAAACTAAGTAGCCAGCCTTGTTTTACCATACAGAATACATTAAAATTTCTCATCACAAGAAAAGTAAAAATAATTCTAAGCACCGTATAAATAACAAGACAGCTCTTAAAAATAGCTCTTGAGTGATACGAGAAAGGGCACACAATGAGAGGATCATTAAACAACTAATAATAACGGTTATCGAAAATCCCTTTATTATTAAAAGGGAAACATTTTAAATAAATAACCTTTAATATGTAAAATATTCACAAGAATGCCATTATGCTGATGTGTCAGCACAAGAGTACTTCTCACATCCTTTATTTAAAAAACCTTCTCTTACTAGAATATTTACATAATATGCCACTGGACATCATAAATATAATATTTTTTATTATAAGCATCCTTAACATATATAAAAGTTAAGTTATAATTATATAGCTGTTATAAATACCTTATTAAGAATCTGTAATTGCTAAGTCACGTAAAATAAATTATCGTGATTGTAATTCAATATTGTTAGAATGAATATTTTCACAGCTCACGTTATAACACAAAGACTTTTTTTATAGGTTTGAATTCTGTGGCTAAGGAGGTTGGCTCCCGGAGCTCTCTTGATGAGTTCGTCCTTTGTAAGTTTCTGCAATCTTAGTTTTTTATCTCCATCTCACCCAGTGGCGGATGCAGAGAAGAGTTTCATAGGGGGCAAGTTGATATTGTTTGAAGAATTAAAGATAGATTTACTCAAATCAAAGGGGGCATAACTGAAATTGTTCAAGGTTTTGCTTAAAATTTTGAAAAAGCATAGGGGGCATATGCCCCACCCTTACACAGTGTGGCTCCGCCACTGATCTCACCCATACCAATCTAACTTCTCCTTACATGTACACACAATTTAAGAGGGTTTTCTCACTTTCAATACGTTGGTTTAAGTGTACAGAAGAAGTGATTACCTATTAGATTGCGCATAAAGTACTCGATGGAATGCATGTGAGAGATGTTGTTTCGTGAATTTGTTGTTGAGTGCAACTTTGTGGAAAATGGTTTGGTGGAAGAAGCTCTTGGGTTGTTTCATGAGATGGAGGATAGGAGTATTGAGTCTTGGAATTTTATAGTTTCTGGTTTTGCAGCTGCGGGATTGGTTCATGAAGCGAGACAGACATGACGATATGTTGTAAAGGATGGGGTTTCTTGGAACGCGATGATGAGTACTTATGCACGTACGGGTTGCTACAGAGAAGTTATAGAGCTTAGAGGTTTTAAATGAGATGCTTAATAGTTTTGCTGAGAAACCAGATGGTTTTACTTTTGTTATTGTCTTATATTCGTATGCTAATCTTGGATTGTCGAGTCAAGGTGAATGTGGACATGTTTGTATTGACAAGAATGGGACTGAGATTGATGGGTTCTTACACAGTTTTTGTGGATATCATGGAACTCGATGATATTGAGTTTTAAGCGTCCATGGTCTTAAAATGCTTTAAAAAGAGGTCTCAGAGATCGTTTACGAAATTTTTTACCAAACAATATCTCTTTTTCACTATTCTATCTACCTCTAATCATGTGGATTTGTTAAGTCAAGCTTGCAAATTCTTTGAAATGATGAGTAGTGTGTATGGGTTGAGCCTACTATCGAACATTGTTACAAGGAGTTTGTGGATGACTTATCGATTGTAGGTTCACATCTGTTGGAGAGTTAACTTAAGGAACTCTTTTTCTGATCAAGGACACTCTTTTGTATCTGTTAGAACCTGCTCCAACTACTTTCCGTGCACTTAACTATGGCAAAGAGATGGAGAGGAACCCTGACTTCTCTGGTGCATTCATTTTACTAAATCGATAAGTCATGTACCCCATACATAACTTTCATTTTAAAATGATAGAAAACTCCTTCATGGTTAAAACTATTCTGCAATGAAACTCATAGTTTTTTTCCAACCACGTTTCAGTTGCACATATAGTTTGATTTTTACATTGTATTCATGCTAAACATTGTAAAGTTCTGTGTCTATAAACTGAGTTTATGGACTGATATTAATAAAATTATTCTTTTGTATTTTCAGCATATATAGCTGAAATATAAGGGATTTCGTGGTGCAAAAATACAACTTTAACCCATGATGTCTTCCAAATTTAAGTGCCATAATTCCAAATATATCTTATTCATAAATACACCATATTATTATATGCCTGATTTTATGGTGGGCAATGCTAATCTCTCTACCTATAATTTGGGACTTCCGAGAATCCAAAGAGATGTTTGAATTATAAGAATCATATTAACTATAAAAAAAAGTTTAAATATTTTATATAGTTATTTATTGATTTTTAAAAAAATAATTGTAAGTTACTAAAATTATTAAAAATCTGATTTCAAAGATAATTAGAATATATATATATATATATATATATATATATATATCATTTAAATTTAACTATATATTATATAGCTTTCCATAAATATTCTTTTGTGATGATCAACAAATTTGAAATTTCATCCAAAAAATCCATAAATATTTCAGTTTCAAATTTTAGAAAATATATATCATATTGAATTGATAAAGGTAAATGTTTATGTAAATTCAAATTTTATAACATATGTAATTTACTTAATAAAAAATCAAATACTTTGCATATCTTTTGTTATTATTTTTTTTTAAATTATATAATTATATAATAAATGTTTTATTCTACAAAGAGTATAGATTATTACGTAGATTAATTTCTCCCCGCGCAAAGCGCGGGTCTTAACCTAATCTAATTAATATTTGGGGAACTAAACATCAAATCTACTTTTCTGAGTGTCTCTCTGTCTGCACTTGCTTCTATATTCTTTTTTTTTTCCTTAAAATAGAGCAACCTTATTCGGTATTTGGAGTACTAATTACTTTGTGGTCTATAAAAACAAAACCTTATATAATTCATAAAATGTTATCTTACTGAACTAAATATACTATATATGAAAATCACAGAAATAACCAAACATTAAATAAATTATTTAGTTGATAATGCTACTCTTTTTTTTTCCTTTTCCACGTCCTATTTGATGATATGGGAATATAAAAACGAGTATTGGGCTTCCAGTATCCTATCAATGTATTATTTGGGCCTTTTCCCTCTGAATTACAAACTTCTAGAAATTATCGGTATCACTTCGGACAGGGCCTTGTTCATTCGTTGAGTGTATTTTTTTTTAACTATTTCCATCTTTTGTTTCTTGACAAAGGGGTTATCTTTTTTTTTTTGATCCAGACAAAGGATTTATCAAAATGTTTTGAATATAACCAATGTTTTCATATATGCTCAAGATCTATGGTCGAACCGGCAAATGCTGTGACTCAAAAATAATTGGGTTTGGATTTAATGAAAAAAAATGATAATTTCGACAATTTCCTACATGCCATTAGTTGATCCCATGAAATCCGATAGCGTTTTCTAAACAATGATTGAATTTTATATATGTTTTTAATTGAATTATATACTAATTTATTTATTATATTTCATCCGTTTCAGTTGATTTTTCGTTTTCTAAAAAAAACAGTTTAAAATAAGTGTTGTTTATAACTTCAATACCAAATTTATTAGTTTTTTTATTGATTGAAATATAGTTAACTTTATAGATAATGATGCATTTTTAAAAAAAAATATACAAAAGTAAATAATTTTTTAATTTGTGTAAAAATTTAAAATGACAATTAAGATAAAATGGAGGAATTACCACTTACAAGTCTTGCCATGATGGTGTGGAACTAAAAGTCTAAAACTCACCAGCATAGTCCAACCAAAAGCACAAGCTTCTTTTACTACTATTAATTGCCAGATTAATAGTACATAATTAATCAATTACCAAATTATATCCAAAAAAGATGGATCATTTTGTTATAATCAAACTGTATTTAAAAGAAAAAAAGATAAGACCTTGATCATCAGAAGAAAAAAAAACTGAAAAAATCAAGAAATGACATAATAACATTATAATACCCATTTACTATAACAAATTTTTGGATATGACAAATGAAACTCATGAAAATAAATATTCCATCAATTGCAATAAAAAATCTAAGGAGAACCCAACACTTTCTTATCCAAATGAACAATTTCAAAGAAAAAAATACAACATCCTTTACGGGCGTAAGTATGAGCGTTAGCGCGTGCTAAATCCAACCTCTCGAGAGAAAAGTATCATCGTCATAGAGGTAATAGAATAGTTTCATAGGAAGATTCTAAAAGGAGTTCTCACCTTTTAAAAAAAAAAAAGGAAAGTAACTAGAGTGGAGAAAAAAAAAACTCATTAGAGAGCTTTTAAGAACAGGTTGAAAATTCAAAATAACAAATGTCACTTCATTAATGTTTCAATTGGGTTTACAGAATTAAAGCATAATTAAATTATTATAATAGTATTGTTTTTTGCTTTGTTTTAGAAACTCTTAGAATGGTAATCAATAATATTATGGATTCGTGGTAGCATGGGAGAGGAAGATCACGAGGTTAGAGTTGGAGGTCGACTCAGCGTTGGTTGTCGGATTTCTTTAGACAAGGATTGAGGAGATTCACCCACTGTCATTTCTGGTACGTCTGTGCCATGGCTTTCTTTCAAAGAACTGGATAGTCCGGATTGATCACGTGTATAGGGAAGCTAATTGTCTTACCGATGGATTAGCCAATTATGCGTTCACTTTTCCTTTAGAGATTCATGTTTTTGATTCTGTTCCTTCCAATGTAATGTCAATTCTTGCGGATGATGTCCTAGGCATTTCTCGTCCTAGGCATATAGTTCTGTCGTAGTTTTATTTTTCTAACAATACAGGGAGATCGTCGCCCTCTTTTCCCACCAAAAAATAATAATATCCCAAACTACCTATAATAATTTGGCACACGTACAATTATTTAGTAGTTGACAATAACCACCAACGACTTGTTTATGTAACGATTACTACGTTAAACAGGTTTAGAATGGAGTGTGAACATTTGAATTTATAGGTTTAATAGTCTTACGGTACTCATAGTCGTATGAACTTGACGTGCATATAGTGGTTTCCTATTTTACCTCTTGACTAATGTGTATAATAAATATAATTCATAATTTTGACATAAAGTAAACAAAGTAAATTAAACCATGTTTTAGACATTTTTCACGTGATTTGAACGTCGTGAGAGACGTGTTCATTAAGAAATTTGTTTGGCTCCGCATAGTACCAATATCAAATATGTTACGACTGTACCATATGCGGCATTAACTTTAGGATAAAAGTTGACGAAATACGGATGAATCCATATAGCATTTGCAACAACTTTTTCAAAGTCTAAAACAATAGAAAACAAATGCGACCGTCAGTTAGTCAGTGACCGCGTCCAACAGTTCATGACCTTAAAGTCAGGTTATAGAATAATATCGTAGGACCGTGTGTATTAGTGACACTTTGTTCAGTTTTACACCAGCCAACGCTGGTTGAGTTATGGTTTGGTTTCATTGCGATTGGCTTATTTGAAAGACTTCCAGACTTTGAATAGTTCGTCATGTAATAAATAACAATTTAACTTTTATAATAATTTCTTTTGTAGTCTTATTGAGATATTCGTTTTGACCACGAGGATACAATTTGACAGATAAATAATCGGTTGCTCATAGTAGCTGGTGAGCCGTCGTAATCATCGTATAGACTTGGACTAAAATGTGTGTGTTTAGTTATTTCAGGGAAATTTTAGGGGAAATTGCTACAACTGCACTATCCACTTTCCTCTCATCCTACGACGTCGTGATATATATACTAAATACGAAAAATAAAAGAAAACAGTTTTTATATTTTCAATTATGCTACCTTACGGTTTTACCTAAAAACAAAAACATTGTGTTATATGTTTTCCCAAAAGCATCTATTATCAAAGATAATTAAGTAAAAAGTTATATATATATATATATGCTTCATATTAACATAGTTTTCATATTCACATATTAAAATATAAAAACTATTTATCATACATACATCCTTTTATTATCAAATTTTAGTAACATTACACTAATAATAATAAAATCAATAATTTTTTTGAAATTTACAATTTATCATAGTTAAAAACATATGAAACAGTTTTTAATAATATCTATCTTTAGAAAACGGAAAAACTTTTTTTTTTGTTGCAAAATGGTAAATACCATTAGTGAAAATGAAAATTGGTTACAAAGTTAACTGAAACCACAATCTGCAACAGCTGATTTGATCCTAGTGAGAAAAAAGACTTTTAAAAAAAAAATATATATTCATGTCCTTTTGTATCACACTGGCCTCTTTGCAATAAACGAACGGTGTATTCCATAACACTTCGTTTTTACATTTTCTCTGAATTACAAATACATCTCCTGCAATAGTTTTCATAAATCCTATTTATTTTCGAACACTCGTTTATTTCTGTAAATCTTTTGCTCAGCAAATGTTAAAGTTTCATTACTCCGTATCTAATTTATTGAATGACAGATCAAGTACAACAATTACCATCAATCATCACGTACCTATAACTTATGAAATAAAATGACTGACTAAAAGAATAAGAAATTGTTGTTTGAATAAATAAAATAGAAGGGAAGAAAAGTAGTAACAAGAAAATAACGAACATTTCTGAGTAGTTTACATTGAAATTCTGAGAACTTGAGTGTATAGGTGAAATGAATATTCAATTTAATTGGACCCCATCTGAACCTCGTCCCCGTCTTATTTAAGACGCATCGATAATTCATTTCTTCAAATCTCTCTAACTCAAAAAAAAAAAGCCTATTATTTCTTGCTACAAACACAACCAAACAAAATATTTTAAAACCTTCCAATGGCCTCACTTCAACTTTCTTCTCATTTTCTGGGCACAAACACTCAAAAACACAACTCCATGTCCATCTCTCGTACTTACTTTCCAACCCCATTCACCAGATCATTCCCCCGCAAGGTTTTTGTTGTTGTCTCTGTCTACTTTTTTCATTTGAACATGTCTCTGTCTTCTTTTAGTTAACGTTCATATCTTTGTTGATTATCTGAGAAACTTTTTTTGGCTACTTGCAGAAGTTTATGTCGTGTTCCATGTCTATGAACGGGTGCGAGAGTGATTTCAACACTCCACTAGGTACAGTGGTGACTAGGACTATGGAGACAGTTCTATCTCCGACAGCCGCAACTGAAAGGCTAATCTCCGCCGTCTCTGAGCTAAAATCTCAACCTCCACCGTTTTCCTCCGGTGTTGTTCGGATACAGGTAACATGACTTTACTCTGTTTCTAAAAATCAGATATGGCCACGTGGTTCTTCTGGATTGGGCTTATTGTGATATCGTTCTCTAGTTCCTTTCCATGCCGTATCTTTATGCCTAACCATTGAATTAAGAGTCGGATAATTTTGTTTTTTTTTTATATGGCTACAAGTATTTTTACTCGACCGTTTTTCTTGTGGTCACTCACTGATTTTTAGTATATTACAAAACTCTTAGTCTTTTAATGTGGGGGTTGATGTTAAAATATTGCTTGATCATTAAATGAGTATAAAAGTATGTTGTGGTCTAGTTACAATTAAGAAAAAGACACGTAAAAAGAGTTATGAAAGACGGTAGGGTCGATGACATTGATATTAACTATTAAGCTAATTATTAGTTTCACTTTCACATACTTGTTGCTTTTGGTTATTAATCATAAACAGTCTCTTTGGGAGTGGCTATTCATCACCATGAAAGATAAGACAAGATTATTATAGTGTGTTTATGAATTAAAACACACACACTCGAAGTTTCGTCGTACCAGAATCTTAAAACGTTAATCGAAATATTAAAATGGACGTTAGCCTTTTTTTTCAAAAAATAAAATTAAAATGGACGTTTTGGAGTTTCTGCATGGACGTCAAAAATAATTGACTCGAAAACAGTCAAACTTACAAAGACATTCGAGAAAAGAAGACATGAAAGATTAATGACTGTGTTAAAGACTGTTAAATTAAAGCTAATGAGTAATTATTAATGTGGGCCATACAAAAAGGCCAACATTTCCCCGCGCAATTTCTCAGGAAACTGTAATTTAATTCGGTTTGGTTTGGTTTGGTTTGATTCGGTTTAGGTACCAATTAACCAGCAAGTCGGAGCAATCGATTGGCTTCAAGCTCAGAACGAGACTCATCCTCGCTGCTTCTTCTCTCGCCGCAGCGACGTTGGTCGTCCCGATCTTCTCCTCGACTTAGCAAACGACAACATTAACGAGAGAGGCTCATCAGATCGTGATCTGGTCAGCGTCGCCGGTATCGGATCTGCAGTGTTCTTCCGTGACCTAGATCCCTTCTCTCACGACGATTGGAGATCCATCCGAAGGTAATCTAATAACCTTTACGAAATCTTCTCATTAGTGATCTGATTTTTGATTGGTTAAAACAATTATGAAGGTTCCTCTCGTCCAATTCGCCTCTAATTCGCGCCTATGGTGGCATGCGGTTTGATCCTAACGGCAAAATCTCTGTGGAGTGGGAACCCTTTGGCGCCTTTTACTTTACTGTGCCTCAGGTAAGGAGCACGTGACTTGTTTGACTATTAGAGTGTATGGAGCACGTGACTTTTTTTTAACTAATTGATTACGTCACGCATAGGTTGAGTTTAATGAGTTTGGGGGAAGTTCAATGTTGGCTGCAACTCTTGCTTGGGATGATGAACTGTGTTGGACGTTGGAGGATGCTATTGAAGCACTTGAGGAGACTATGCTTCAGGTTATTAACATAGAGCAGATTCTGGTTTTTTGAAGTTATTTTTAGTGGTGTCTTTATAATTAAACGAGAGAGCTTTGTTTGTGTTAGGTTTCTTCTGTTGTGGTGAGGTTACGGAGAGAGACTCTAGGAGTATCTGTTCTTAGTAAGAATCATGTTCCTAGTAAAGGAGCGTATTACCCTGCTGTTGAGAAGGCTTTGGAGATTATTAAGCAGAAGAGTTCATCGCTTAGTAAGGTAGTTTAGTGACTGATGTTTGTATCTGTTCTTGTACTATTATGGTTTTTTAGCTTGACTGATGTTTTCTGTTTGGGGAGTTAGGTTGTGCTTGCTCGCAACAGTAGGATTATAACGGATACGGACATTGATCCTATTGCTTGGCTTGCACAGTTACAGGTGTGTGTTTTTGTGTTTTTAGAATAAAGCAAGGTTAAGACTTGAATCTCACATTCTCACTCAACTTGTTGTTTGACAGAGTGAAGGTCATGATGCTTATCAATTCTGTTTGCAACCACCTGGTGCACCAGCTTTTATCGGCAACACGGTATGTTATATAAGTAGTTTGTTGTTGGATTCCATTTGATTTCACATATATGGAAGAAACTGTTGACAAAGATATTGCACACATCTTGTGAAACAGCCCGAGAGACTTTTCCAGAGGAATCAATTAGGTGTCTGCAGTGAAGCTCTGGCTGCAACTAGGCCTCGATCTGCTTCTACGGCTCGTGATATGGAAATAGAGCGTGACTTACTAACCAGGTTAGTTTTTTTACTTTACTGTTTTGAGCAATCAGAAAATTATTTTCACTGAAATTTCTGGATATGCATGCTGACTTGGTTACTACATTGCTGCAGCCCTAAAGACGACCTCGAGTTCTCTATTGTACGAGAGAATATAAGAGAAAAGTTAAACGTAAGTTCAATCTTATCGCTCTGCATCTTTCAAACCTTTTATCTACAGTTAGTTTGAATTTCTTAGTCTTTAACAAGTGTGTTGACACATGTTCTTATTATCATTTTTATTCTTTGCAGTCTATATGTGACAAGGTGGTTGTTAAGCCCCAAAAAACCGTGAGGAAGCTTGCAAGAGTACAGCACCTATATTCTCAATTAGCGGGGAAGCTTAGAAGAGAAGATGACGAGGTGAGACACATAGTATATGAATAATATTTGCATCACATGATCATCTAGATGGCTTGAAGTTAAGGGCTGTGAGTGTTTATATCCAGGCTCTTTGTTTATTCACATTAGGTTTGACCCTTTGTCTTATGTTTTACTTACAGTTTGAAATATTGGCTGCTCTGCATCCAACTCCAGCTGTCTGTGGGCTTCCAGCAGAAGAAGCCAGGCTTTTGATTAAGGAAATAGGTTAGATAATCTGCCTTTTTGTTTTTTTCTTTCAACCATCTCCTAGTAACTATAGATACTTATGCTTCATCTTTCTTACACTTATGCTGATTCAAACATCTTGCGTCTCTCAGAATCATTCGATAGAGGAATGTATGCTGGACCTATTGGTTTCTTTGGTGGCAAAGAGAGTGAGTTTGCGGTTGGGATCAGATCAGCTCTAGTGGAAAAGGTGAAAAGCTTACCTAAGGAGAACACTTTCCTAAGTTTAAGCAAACATGTCTAAATGTATTCTTTTGAATGATTATAGGGTTTAGGGGCATTGATATATGCGGGAACAGGGATAGTAGCAGGAAGCAACCCAACCTCTGAGTGGAATGAACTTGATCTGAAGATATCTCAGGTGCTGATTTATTTTGAATAATGTAACCAAACATTCTCTTCTGTTTCCAGAAACCTCTAATTTTATTCATTCGTGTGGTTGTTTTTGCAGTTCACCAAGTCAATTGAGTATGAGGCAACAACAAAAACAACTCTGCAGACAATTAATTGAAGAAGAGAAACAACATTTGTTTTTTTCTTTTCTGAGTCGTATGTGTGGAATAGGTTTACAATAGAAAATCAGTGTGTTTTGTTGATCTTGTAAATAGAAAGAATGATACTGAATAGTTATAGGCTTTTCTTTGATTGTTAATGGCCTGCTGGCCTAATCTCTATAATATTATTTGAGAAGTCACTTTCTTATGTGTCGCGTTCACGTTAGCTTTCACGATGGTTGATTACTATGATACCCTTAATGAATTAAAAAAATACATTTAAATATTATTATTTCCTTTTCAAAATTTTCCAAATAACAATATAAAATAAAAAGGAAACATTTATAAAGTTTACAAAACTATTTAAAACGAAAATATAAGTATATAGAAATATGGTTTCATAAAAAAGAAAAGTTCACAAAATAGTAATATTTAATTTAAATATATTTTAAATAACATAAAATATACTTTTGAAGTAATAAAATACTTCATATCTATCTCTATAATATTATTTCAGAAGTCAGTTTCCTACGTGTCGCGCTCACGTTAACTCTCGCGATGGTTGATTACAAAGATACCCTTAATGAATTGTTAGATTTTAATATTATTATTATTATTTTTATTTAGTTTCCTTTTTACTTTTTTCCAAAAAAATATATATAATAAAAAGGAAATATTTCTAAAATTGTAAAACAAATTTAAAAACGAAAATGTATGTATATAATATGACTTTATTAAAAAGAAAAGCTCACAAAATAGTAATACCTCCATTAATATATATTTTTTAAAAACGTAAAATATATATTCAAAATAATAAAAATATATATGTTCATGAATATTCAAATATTACCAGTTACAATTTAATTTTTGTAGAATTTATATATATGCATGAGACTTCAAAATATTATCATTATATTAATTTATGTAATTTTGAATCAAACACTTCAGTTTATTATTTATTTCATTGTAAGCACAATATATATTAAGTTATACATAATTTAACTATAATATAATTACATATCTAAGACAATAACCAACCGAAATGAAAATAAGAAAATTAATCAAAATTTTATTATATTTAGAATAAAATTATTGTAGCTGAATTCTAAAAATAGATATTATCCAATATACCAAATTAATAACCATACCGACTATTGATCCAAAAAATAATTAAACCGACAATGATATATCCATAGTCATATGTATAATTAGAATAATATAATATTTATTAATATAAATTATACATATAAATTTATTCAAAACTAAAACTAAACTAAATATCAATCAATTTACTACATCAACATTGCAAAAAAGTATCCAATCAAAACAAAATCGGAGATAAAGCGCTACAGAATATGATTGGTTGAAATCACAAAGACATCATCTGACGTGGCAGTTTCTCTGTCTCCAGAGATTCCAGATAGTGTGTGCGAGTGGAGAAAACAACACACGAAGACATCAATCTCCAAAGATATTTGTTTTTCTTTATCGCTTCGATCTTCTTCCAATGGCTGTCAACGCTGCTATATCGTCTCTGACAGCTAACTCGCGAACACAGTTTCTCTCCAATCCCGTTCTCCCTCGCTTTCAACGGTCATACTCCACCGTAAAAGCACCAGCAACAGCCTTCTCCGTCGTCTCAATGGCTCCCCAGAAGAAGGTAACTTAGTAAATCATTATATCTACAGAAACGTGAACAAGCTCTAGTTCTTCTTTAGACTTAATAAACAGTTTAGTATAGATTCTCAAATTCTTTAGATGAGTAAACCTTTGGTGGATATGTATTATATTAGGTGAACAAATATGATGCCAAGTGGAAGAAACAATGGTACGGAGCGGGACTATTCTTCGAAGGAAGTGAAGAAGTAAACGTAGACGTTTTCAAGAAGCTTGAGAAGCGTAAAGTTTTGAGCAACGTTGAGAAATCTGGTCTGCTTTCAAAGGCAGAGGACTTGGGACTCACGTTGTCGTCTCTTGAGAAGCTTGGTGTCTTCTCCAAAGCAGAGGAGCTTGGTCTTCTCAGTCTACTTGAAACTTTAGCTAGTACATCGCCTGCTGTCTTGGCCTCTGCTGCACTCCCTGCTCTGACGGCTGCTATTGTAGCTATAGTGTTGATTCCTGATGACACGACTACTCTGGTTGTTGTTCAATCGGTTTTGGCTGGGGCTCTTGCTCTTGGTGCTGTTGTTTTGTTGGTTGGTTCTGTTGTTTTGGATGGTCTTCAAGAAGCTGATTAGTTTTTTCCTATGTAAACCAAACATAAATAAACCTTTTGTCCAGTTGATTTTAATGTAAGATTGATTGTAACATCTCGATTTCTGGTAGTTTATATTAAAAAGTTTTAAATATTCTATATGTAAGCGTACTTAAAGTGGAGTAATGAAAGTATAATCATCTATCGGACTGATAGAATGAGTGTGAGAGATTCATTAGCTGTGGGCGGTGGGATTGTTATGGATTCATGATCAGATTATGTTATAAGCAAGTCAGAAAGAAGCTTTATAACAATTAAACAAACATTACATACAAATACATTCATTCTCCAGTGAAGAAAAAGTCTAACTAAAGCCCATAAATTACAAATTTTAAACTTCCCAAACCAAAAGAATCACTAGAGGCAAAGTGAAGAACAAAATTACACATGGAAAAAGCTTAGAAAAAACCTTTTTGGAAGAGGAAAACAAAAGCCATCAGATTTGCTTATGTTTTGGTGGATAAACAAAGTGTGAGTATCAAACAGCAACAGATTGTCCAGTGAGTGCATCATGGAGATGCAATGACCCATCTTTCATCAAGTTAATGCTTAAGCTCTTGAATCTCTCTCTTGAGTATTGTCTTGATGCCTTTCTCCAATCTGTTCCAGCTTTCATCATCACCACAAACTCATCATAGTTTATACGCCCATCCTGCAAAACCAAAACATTAGTACTTAACATCTTTCTATAACAAGAGTCTTTAAGAGTCAAAGAGAGTTAGAAAAGACCTTGTCAGTGTCAACTTCACGCATTATGTCGATCAGGACACTGTTGTCTGGTTCACCCAACTCGTCAGTTAAAGCTCTTCTTAGTTCATCTGATTCAATGTAACCACTTCCATCTTTGTCAAAGAACATAAAAGCTTGTCTGAAATGTTCATCATTCTCCATCTTCTGCAAGTGTATTATCACTGCTACAAACTCTCCATAGTCTAGACATCCATTTCCATTAACATCCGCCTGCATCAAACAAAAATTCATGAATGTGTTAGTACTAGAGAAGACGAACATTGTTGAATCTTTTGATCAAGACAAAAAAAATTACCACTTCCATCAACATTTTGATCTCTGGTTCACCTAGTTGTGAACCGACTTTCTTTAGTCCAGCTCTGAGTTCTGGATACGTTATTTTACCATCGTTGTCATCATCCATAAGTGTAAACATGTCTCTGATGACTTCAACTTCTTTAATAGACAAGTGCTCAGCTATTACCTGAAAGCATCCAAAAGAAGTAAGCGAAAGAAACCAAACCAAAAGTAATAAACCAATGAGAGGCAACACACTTACACGTAGAGCTTTCTTTTTCAATCTATTCATCATAGAGAATTGCTTCAACCTTGACCTCACAATATCCCCTAAAGGAACATTTGGAGCTTTCTTTGCGTTCTGTATCCAAGGATGATCTACAAAAGAGGTAACAGTCATTACCTTAAGAAACAAGTAGAGAAGAGAACATGAAAGATCACAACGTTACCAAGAACTTGCTGAGCAGTTAAACGTTTAGTGGGATCAGGGTTTAGCATCTGCTTCACAAGACTCTTTGCGCTTTCAGATATCTGTGACCATGGATCTCTCTTGAAATCAAGAACTCCTCTCAAGATTGCAAGAGCCACACCTTGTTCAGTCTCTGCAAATCAAAACCATGAGATCACTAAGTCACTTTTAATCACTACAGATCTGCACATCAAAGAGGAAGCAAAGCAGCTTATACCAGCCCAAAAGGGAGGAACACCACAGAGCAAAATGTAGAGGATAACTCCAGCACTCCACACATCAACCTCTGGTCCATAATCTCTCTTCAACACTTCTGGTGCCATATAATATGGACTCCCAACAATCTCTGTAAACCTCTCTCCTGCATCAAAAACATTCATAACCAGATTCAACAATGTGATCTGAATCTCAAAACTTTCTATTTCGGGAAAGTTACCAGGCTTGAAGAGCACGGATAAGCCAAAGTCAATAGCCTTAAGAGCAGAGTTCTCCTTCTTATTAGCAAACAAGAAATTCTCAGGCTTCAAGTCTCTATGCATAACACCATTCATATGACACATCTTCACAACCTCAGCGATGGTCCTCGCCACCGTGGCCGCCGCACGCTCCGTGTAATGCCCTCTCGCCACGATCCGGTCAAAAAGCTCACCTCCTTCACAAAGCTCCATCACAAGATGCACGTTCTCGTTGTCCTCATAAGTCGCCTTGAGTTTGACCACGTTGGGGTGATCAGGTATGGTGGACATGATCGTGACCTCGCGGCGGACGTCCTCCACGTCAACGGCGGTACGGAGCTTTCTCTTGGAGATTGACTTGCAAGCCAAGGCTTCTCGTGTCTCGCGGTCCGTGCAGAGGTATGTGATGCCGAATTCTCCGCGGCCTAGCTCTCGTCCCAAGATGTACTTGTCGCTGATCTGGGTGCGGTGGCTCATAGGGACGTCGGGGAGGACGCGGAGAGGACCGTGGGAGCGGAGATTGTCGGGATCGTGGTGGTATGTGTTTGGTTTTCGGACATGTCGTTTCTTGGTTTGGTTCTTGGTTTGTTTTGTGTCTGTTTCTTGGTCAAAGTTCACGCACGCGATGCAGTTACCCATGTTTGAGTTTCGAACTCAGTAAGAAGAAGCTTTTGGGTAGTTCTACGGTGGTGGTGGCGTTTTGTTTTTCCGGTGAAACGGAGAGTTTGTAGTCTTTGGAGAGAAAGAGAAGAAGCGGGTTTAGTTGAAGAAAGGTTCGACCTCTTTGTAAATTTCAGTTTGATATTTTTTAAAAGTTGTATTTATATTTTTATATTGTAAAATGTAAAGGAAAAAAGCAACTTGATCTGTATAAATAAAAATGCAGGAAAATGTATTACGAGCGATTTTTGAAAAGAGTTATAAAAATATTTCCAGTTATTCAAACGGTTAGTTATACTTACAACAGCTTTTATTTATTACTCTTTCGTGTATTTAAAAGAAATGACAAGGAAAAATATTTTAGCCGTAGATTTTG